CCTAACATGTGCAAATTCAGCTTTACGCAGTCGGCAAAAACAAAAACAAAAAGAGAAAAATAATAATTTAAATACTGTACTTGTAGAACGGGTGATTCCGCCTGCCATTAGACTCAATGTAATTTTGACTATACGCGGTTTTCACTTTACGCACTGACTGCGGAATGTAACCCCAGCGTAAGATGAGACAGACCTGTATAACATGAAATATATGGCAGAATGTGGGTAAAATAGAGCCGGAAATGCACAATTCTCCCCCAAGGAGTTCAGTCACAAATTAAATTAAAGCATTTTTTTTTTAACGAGCGTCATCAGCATGGAAACATGACCTCTGGAATGCTGGCCGAAGCATGAAGGAGCATATGAATCTTTAGCGCAGAGGTTCCTAAACTTATTTGGCCTACTGCCCCCTTTTCAGAAAAAAAATTACTCAGCGCCCCCCTGGAAATCTACCTTCTTTAAGCGAACAAATAGAAAAATGCAGTGACAAATTTGCGTTCTTTTATGTATCTATATTTCTGCCTACGTCCTACAATATAGTAAAGAAAGATGTTGTTGTAAATAAGACACCTTGAAGCTTGAAATTATAAAATTATTTATTAAAAAATTATTTATTAAAATCGACCATAGTAACATTGTCATTACACACAGAAAATTAAGATAACGAAGGATAATATTAAAATAAAAATTACGAATAACATTAAAAATAATCCTAATGAGAAGGATGAACCTGGTGCGCTGCTATCAATTTATTAATGTTCGACTCTATTTTTGTCAGCAGCATTCTTAAATCACAGCGATTTAGCTATTTGCAGTCCGTTTCTTTTTTTAGTTAACAGATTTGTGACCGCACTGAACCCACGTTCCACTAAATATGATGAAGGAAATGCAATTAAAAACTTTTGTACTATAGCCCATAATCCAGGATAAAGTGTAGGTATCTGCTTTTTCAGACAGAACTGTTGGTAGCCGTCTTTGAATTTAAATTTCAATTCCTCATTTGTTCAAGTATCAGAGGGGTAGCCGTGTTAGTCTGAATCTGTAAAAAGCAACAGAGGGTCCTGTGGCACCTTTGAGACTAATAGAAGTATTGGGAGCATAAGCTTTCGTGGGTAAGAACCTCACTTCAAGAACATCACTTGCATCTGAAGAAGTGAGGTTCTTACCCACGAAAGCTTATGCTCCCAATACTTCTGTTAGTCTCAAAGGTGCCACAGGACCCTCTGTTGCTTTCCTCATTTGTTGTTACTTCTATCAGTTCTTCTTGTAACTTTGGAGATTCTTCTGTGTTTGTACTTGAAAAAGGTCCAAAACCCAATCGGGTATGTTCATTTTAAGAATATCTTCAAATTGTTGATTGAAGTCAGAATGGAGAGCCTCCAAGTGCTGAGAATAGGTAAGCAAGTCATCATCATGTTTTTCTACTGTTGATAAATTTGGAAATTGGCTGAATTCTCCTCGTCCTAAATTTCGTTTGTACAGAAGAAGTTTTGCCACAAATGCGGAAATAACAGTTTTTGTTTTAATTAAATTCAGCTCATCGCCTTGGAGCTGTAAAAGTCTGTTAAATAAGCTGTCATTTTTGGAATCAATCAAGTTGGCTCGTAAAGCATCATCTTTGTTTTCTAGGAACTCTAGCACTGAGTCAAAGAGTTTATAAAACCGATCCAAACAGGCACCTTTTGATAGCCAACGAACTTCTGTATGAAGCAGCAAGCGATTGAATTCTTCATCGTTTTCAATACAAAGTTGTCCAAACAATCTGTCATTCAATGAATTGCTTCTGATTTTTGTTGATTGCTTTAATGACATAATGTAATGACCTATGTAGGCGTTCACTCAGATTTTTGGCAACTAAATGTTGACGATGAATGACACAGTGTACAGCGAATACATTCGGAACCGCTTTTTTTAAATATGCAAGAAAACCCCTATAGCACCCTATCATCGCTGGAGCACCATCAGTAGCAACTGACAAGATATTACTCGGGGATTTCTTTTTCTTTAAAAAACTCTTCCAATGCATGAAATATCAATTCTCCTTTAGTATCAGTTTGCAAATTTTTAGCAAATAATAATTCTTGGCAAATGAATCGCATGTATGCTAAAAGTAAGTAAGGCTTCATTTCCTGGCAAAGCTGACTCATCAAGCTGTATAGAGAACTGGGATGTTTTTAAATACTCACATAATGAGTCTTCAACATCTTTAGCCATTTCATCAATTCTTCTTTGCACTGTATTATTGCTCAAATAAATTTTCTTGGTAATATCAGACGCTGGCTTGTGTAGCATAGTGCGTATTACCTCACTTATAGCCGGTAGAATTGGTTCTTCACCAATAATATGTGGTTTTCCCGATTTTAGCAATCAGTAACGAAATGTTGTAAGAAGCATGCAACCCATCGTCATCTTCTTTGGCAAAACTCTTTTCAATAGCATCCAATGTCAGCTGTCTCCAATTTTTCTTTAAGTGCTTGAAAATAAGATAAATCCTTATCTTTCTTATCAGCATGAACTTTTGTCAAATGTTCTTGTAGTCTTGAAGGCTTCATAGCTTCATTTGATAAAACTTTTTGGCAAATCAGGCACATTGGTAATGTATTGTTTGTAGGCGACTGAATAAAGCCATAGTTCAAATATTCAATACTATATTGTCTACATTTTTTCTTGAGTTCAGCCATGATATCTGTAAAAGAAATAAAATTTGTGTTTGTTTATCACAATAGGGGTATAAAATTACCAAGATATATAACAATTTATATAATTGAAAAAGTGCAATTTCTCTTCCCGGAACCAAAATTTTTTGCAATAGTTGTGTTGTTAGAATATTGCCCACGACATCAGGTATACAGTGGTTTTTGCGTAAGACGGCAAAAGACAACCAAACTAAAATACTAATGAAACTAATAAACTGGGTTTTGTTCTTTGCTCAGCATTAGATATATGTATTTGATATTAAATTGTCAAATATCAAACGAAATTTATCAAGAAATAATTAATTTAAAAAATAATCAATGTGCAATTAAAAATCAGTTAATAGTTTTAATTTAGTTTGCCCTTATTTAAATAATTGTTCCTTATTAACACACGCCTTATTTACCAGTTAACACAGATGATTCGATAACTATTAACATTTATTTATATCTAACAGTTTTTTTACGATTTCATTCCCCTGTTTTCGTTAATGTAATAAAAAATATGACAAATATATTGACTGTACACTTCAAATAGTACTGTACCGACACAAGCCTGCTACGATTTTATTATTAGTAAGCAGTAGAGACACAGAAACATACGATAGATATGTAATAAAATGTATAAAAATACTCACGTGTAAATTGCTGTTCTACTGAAACAACAAAAATACAATTTGCTTTGTATGTGATCCGTAATCCGTAAAGATCGAAGGTATCGAATATGAATAAAAATTTTTAAATACTTATTGCACTATTGTTAACTGCTTTTTACACAATTCAGAAACAATCTAAATTAGATTTCATACATGTCGCCTATTTATAGTATTGTATTGTAAATAAGTCATTACAGGCACATATTCCTGCCGATGTATGCTGGACTTCCCGACAATGCGCGACACGCTCGTCTGCCAACACTTGCTTGTTAAGAACTGTTGGCGGACTTGACACCTGATCGGTTATAATTTGTTACTTTATTTTCCAAATAAATTCTTCACTACAACTTTAACTCTGTTACACAACAGATGAAACATGTACGAACGGTTTTTAAAATTTTTCTTATAGTCTCTTCTTTCTTTATGCTTCCGCCGCCCCCTTATTTTTATTCAATGCCCCCCAGTTGCACTCGAGGCTACTACTACCCCCCTGGATCGTTCCAGCGCCCCCCAGGGGGCGGTATCGCCCACTTTGGGAACCTCTGCTTTAGTGCATCTGGCACGTAAATGCCTTGCAATGTCGGCTACAAAAGTCCCATGTGAACTCCTGTTCTCACTTTCTGGTGACACTGTAAATAAGAAGAAGGCAGCATTATCTCCTGTAAATGTAAACAAACTTGTTTGTCTTAGTGATTGGCTGAATGAGAAGTAGGACTGAGTGTACTTGTTTTGCATTGTTTTATTTTTGAGTGCAGTTGCGTAACAAAAAAAAATGTACGTTTGTAAGTTACACTTTCACGATAGAGACTGCATTATAGTACTTGTATGAGGTGAATTGAAAAATACTGTTTCTTTTGTTAATTGTCTTTACAATGCAACTATTTGCATTGTAAATAATAATATAAAGTGAGCACAGTACACTTTGTATTCTGTATTGAAATCAATGTATTTGAAAATGTAGAAAAATATCCAAAAATATTTAATACATTTCAATTGGTATTCTATTGTTTAACAGTGGGATTACACATCTGTTTAATCGTGATTAATTTTTTTGAGCTAATCGCATGAGTTAACTGTGATAAATCAACAGCCCTAATACAAATTAAAGCTACCCCACAAGTAGTCCCATTGCAGTCGTTTGGATTGTCTCTGAAGTAAAGTATCACTCAGCCTGAGGAAAAGTGGCAGAGTCTGGCCATTAATAGAAAGACTGACTCTCCGTGTATACAGATATTTTAAAACATTCTTGCAATCTGGGATTTAGGTTAGTCTGGTCTTCTGGAGTTTGAGACAGGTTTTTTTTGCTACAGTATTTATAACTCTAAGCAGATGCTTGAAGGCAGCTGTAATTATTGGTTTGTAAAAATAAATTGCTTTTTCTTCCCCACACTTAGTTAATTCCTAGTACAATGAAACTTCCAGAACGACAGCCTCAGTTTTTCTTTTACTATTCGTTACTGGGAAATGATGTAACAAATGAACCCTTCACTGATCTAATCAATCCGAACTTTGAGCCAGAGAGAGCATCAGTTCGAATACGCAGTACCATTGAAGTCCTTCAAGTATATTTTTCTGCACAGCCAAAAATACAGGTAAATAGTTTCTTCTCACCTATGGTAACCTACATTAAGTAAAATTCTATTTGGATCTAAACTTGCCAGTCTAGAACTTTAATGAAGTAGACTTCAAAATCAATAATATTATATAGATGGCTAATCTTTTGTCTTGTTATCTTTGAGCTTACTGGGTAATATTTATAAACCCCCTCTTAGAGCTTGATTCTGCTCCCATTAAAGTCAAAAGAAAAATTCCCAAATGGGAGTAGGAGTGGGACCTAAGTGAGACAGTTGATGAGCAAGTCATATGGCAAACATAACATATTTTGTCCTTTTTTATTAGTCTGTTCTTTAAATGTGAAGCATAGAGCTGATTTTATAGGTTTTTTTCCCTGCTGTACCTTTTCTCTACTGAACTATACAGTTTTGTTTTAAAAATGTATATTTTAAACCATTGTAATTGATTTAAATAATATTACTATGTACCTAAAATTATTTTATTTCGGATTATTGCATTTCACAATTGAATAGCATTTGTTTACAAAGATTCTTTAAATTTTTATTTCTGTAGATAGGACTGTGCTGAGCTGGCATATTAGAATTTAACCCTGATGATGACCTGCCTTGATACAAAATACTTGTATGTCTGACTGGCATATATTTTTTTCTTTATCACTTTAAAAGAACAAATTCTTATTGTAACACTTTTTTGAAATAAGCATAGTGGGCTGGATCCTCATCTGGTCTATATTTGTGTGACTCCATTGATATGAATGGAATTATTCATCTGTTTAAAGTTAAGCACATACTTACGTGCTTTGCTGAATTGATGTCAGAGTGCTTTGCACCATTCAAAGCCTTCATCATTTGCTACAAAGGCATATTTATTCTTAAGGAGGATCAGATTTATTGATAGGGTTTAACAAAGACAAGAAAGAATAGCTGTTCTTTTCTCCAGATAAACTTTTTTTTTGGGGTGGGGAACGTATATACATTAAAAAGGAACCCATGTTGTGAGAATAGATATGTTTATATGCACTCCTTAGGACCAAACTTTACTCCAGGTGTGCAAAGCAGCAAATTCTTCTTGAAATCAATAAGAGTTGGGTGCATGTATTTGAGCACAGAATAATGACCCTAAGCCAGGAATTAAAGAGCTCTAGACTTCCGTTAGTAGTTCATAAAGTCTTTATTGTTAGGATGATACTTGAAGTATGTGGATGCATACAGATGCGTAACTTACCTTTTTCCCTTTGCATATGTCTGTCTACACTATGCAGCTTTTAGCAACACAGCTGTGCTGCTACAGCCATGCCTGTAAAGGGCGCACACTGCAGCCGCTGTTTGTTTGGCTCTCCTGCCGACAAAAAACTTCCACCTCCAACGAGCACTGTTAGTGTTGTCAGCAGGAGCGCACTCCTGCTGACAAAGTGCTGTTCATACTGGCACTTGTCATGGGCAAACCTTTTGGGGGTGGGGGTGTTTTTAAACACCTCTGAACGACAAAAGTTTTGTCTTTCACTTGCTAGTATAGACAGCCTACCTCACTGTGGTATAGATAATAGTGTATCTTGGCTATGTACTACAGTGCCTGCTCTGAGAGAATCCTTACCCAGATTGATACAGAGATTTTAGGGTCTATTTACACCACTCCAGCCCCTTTATTCAGCGTAAAGAGACTGGAGAGGGGCTGGACCTCACTCTTAATGTTTCTTTCATTTCTTTTTAGAAAGAGTTCAGTTTCAGACATTGGCAGTGGGAGATGTAAATACATATCAAAGTTATTTTCTGAGCACTTCTTTTTACAATAGATCCATCTTTGCTGTGGGGACCAGTCTCTTGGAAGCACTGAAATACCACTAACTGGATTGCTGAAGAAAGGAAATGTGGAGATTGATCAGAACCCTGTGGCAGTTGAAGGGGCATTCAACCTTGTTCCACCAAATAGAGCCAAGCAAAAATTGCCACCATTGGCCTTAGATATGGGTCCTACTGTTGGGGTATCGGTAACCCTACAAAAGGAAGGCATAAATACCCAGGTACAATCCACTCATTTAGATTGTGGTTCAGCTGCTGTTCTAAAAGATAAAAAATAAGTTTGATTTTGTTGAATCAGATTTTACACTTTAAATCATGAAAAGAAAAGCCTGAAAGAAGAAGCTACAGTATATTTGTTACTCTATTTTTACAGCTCCATCTCTGTTTATCCATGCCATAAGAGTAATCTCAAATTCTGTAAATATAGTAAAGAGTTTTTCAGTGCAAACTATGATTAATAAGAAAATTGTATTATTTTGTTCAGTCATTGATCCACTTAGACCTTCAGACTGAGCCAGAACACTCGCAGAAAAGAGTTTTGTCTCCCACACGGGATAAAACAAAGAGCCCACAGCAAAGATCTCAGAGTGCTCCTTCTGCCCTGCTTCAGAATGGTCATTCTCCTCCCACAAAAGATGAAGCAACAGAGAGCGAAGTAGAAAGTCTTCAATATGACAAGGGCACAAAACTAAACAAAAAAGGTACGTGATTTATGCCTATCCATATCCATAATTATAAACCAACTATTCTTAAATGTTTTCATAGCACAACCCACAGAGATTACCTCCTGGACTCATCCTCTCCCATTTGTGATCATATTCTTGTGACAAATAAGAATCGCTTATGTGGAAAAAATATTAGAGAAGTTAATGTATTCTAGCTGCCTTTTTAATGTGTGTTGGCAACTGAAAATAAGTAGAAGAGCCAGTCCCATGTAACCATTGCACTGTAGACCACCACTGGTCTATGGACAGCAGTTTGACCAGCAGTGCCACAAATATCTAAAGACCTCTCTCTGAATTTGGGAATTGGTGGGTTAGAGATTTTTGATAAAGATCTTAGATACTTTCTTTAATTTGTAGGTGAAAAGGTCTGATGTGAAAAAATACATTAAATGGGGAAGGAGAGGAGGCGCATAGGATATTTAACCCTGAAGTTAAACTTCTTTAAGGAACTGGGAAACAGCTCCTCAACAGTGGTCTATGCGAATCTATTTTTTGTAAGAATAGCTGCCAATTTTAATTATTGTAGTGCAACTTCATGAACCCTAGGAGTGATTAATTCTTAAGAGAAAAGGAAAACTATTTACAGATTAACATTAAATATTTAAATGTACAATAGAACTTCACTAATTTTCTATTTGCTAATCCATAAATGTTTTTCTCAAAACCCAAATCTTTCCCATTTCTCATCAGAGATTTAATAGAAGAGGGATTAGATTTATTTAATTTTGGTAAATATTGACCATTATGGAAGCCCCAGTCTTGGTTCCTTGGCTAAGGTTGAGTTGAATTTTCCCATTTTCTACTGTGTGTGGAGGGAGTGGGAAGAAGGAAAAAAACCTATTGTATTTTAAAAATCAGTTTTCTTGTAATCAGTAACTACAATCAGTATTGTACACTAATCATAACTGTAGTTCTTGCATCCAGTCACTGCAGGGTAGAGTGAAGGTGGATTGGGTGTTTTAATTATGCATTTATATACTTGAATATATCTAGATTTCTTTTCAGTTAATCTTAACTCTGAATTACCTGGGTTTGCAATGCTTGTTTTTGAGGTAATTCAACAGCTCTGCAATTTGTTTTACTCTTAAGTTACTGATGTGTAATCTTCCTTAACTCCTGGTTTTACATAGTTTTTATCAGGGAATCAACCAGAATGCAATGAGTTATTTTACTAAATAAAATAACCTAAACTACTTCTGACAAAATAAATGAAAAAAAAAACCAGTACATTTTTAATAGGTACTGTTCTTGATTTTTGTTTTCTCATTCATTAACTCACGTCACTTTTCCCCAGTGCCTGGTGCAAAATAATAAGACCTTATTGTAAAAAACAATATGAACAGTTTGCTTTTATACATATACTAAAGCTGGCTGGAATTTTTTTGGAATTTGAAACTTGGACAAAAATGGAAACAAAATGTTCATGACCTTTTTTTGACCAGCTCAGTGAGTAAATACTTTACAAATTGTAGGCCACTCGGTGTCTGAGAACACATTTATGACTATAAATGCACATTAATTTATCTGTAGATTACCTGGACAATACCAAGTATCACAACCATAAAGCATTTTTGATATTGCCCAAACATTCAGTGATAGCATAAAAACATAGACAAAAGAGACCCAACAAAGGTGTGGGTGGGTTTTTTGGGTGGGGTGGTCGAAGGGGGATATTTGTATTTAATAAAATAAAAATCAAAGAACAAGGCCCAGAAGAAACAGTGACACTGTCTGTTGAACATTATTCAAGAGTTCTCAAAGAGGCATATCAGTCAAGCAATATGATTGGCTAAACTTCCCAAAACAGTGGAATCAACAAGAACTCAGTTTATTTGCTAAATGGACTTCTTGTTACTTGGCTTTCTGGGAATGATCCTATACCATACTACACGGGGTAAATTCTGGATCTCAATCCTGCTCCCTTTATTCAGGCAATAGCCCTTTAATCATTAATAGAGTTTCTCTAAGAAAAGTTAGCTAGATTGGGCTCTTAATCTGAAACATGACAGGGATAAAAATCACGAGCACAGGAGTTAATCTATAGATTATGAGGGAAATGCAGAGTTGTATTTGCTGTTGGTGTTTATTATTTAAAAAAAAAGACATTTTTGCAAGTGTGGAAGTAGTTATTTCTAAGTCATTTCACAATTATCTTTCAGAGCTGGTGGTTGAATCTTGCAAAGAAGTTAACAACCAAGAGTCTGAAGAACTAGCAGTTTTCAAATCTCAGAGCAGAGCAAAGTCGCCTTTACAGTCAGAGCTGCAAAATTCATGTAATGCTCACTAATGTTCAGTCATAGAAACTCTAATCAATGCAACTCTGTTTAAAAACAGAAAATAAAAGTATTTGTTTCCATATACCCCTGAAAATTTGTCAACCGTATTGGTTAGATTCATTTTTTAAAATTGTAAGTTGCTATAGATTTGTAATGCTTGTGATGATCTCTGATTCCTGTCCCGTCATTTTGGCTACATAATGCAATTAATGAATCTTTTCAATGAAGGGTAAAATACTACATTTTTAACTGCCCTTAAACAGTTTTTCGTGGATCCCTCTATATATTGAATAGCATGCTTTGAAAGCCATTGTATTTAGCTTTCTCCTGTACCTTTCTTATATTGCTACTGTTAATGCTACAAAACACCAGCCAGCAGAAGATAGATGAGTTTTTATTTATTTTACCTCTTTTTATTAGTACGAGACCATCTTCAAAAATGTGACAGAAAATTGCACCAGGTTTGACAGACAAAAATCAGAAGAACCAGTGTTTAAGGATATGCTGTAGTAACTAATTAAAATTAGTTTCAATTATAAAAGATAATCCTGTCCCTATCTTAGATCACAAAATAGGTTTATTCATTCCTCAACCTATCTCTTGAGATTTGAAGAAGCTACGACTTGGTAGCCTCATTCATCAAACCCACAACTTGACCTGCTGTCAGCTCCCTGGAGGAGCATTTGGGAAGGTAGGGTGTAGATGGTAGGGCACTGGACTGGAACTTAGGAGGCCTAGCTGGCCAGCCGATTGATCTTGGGCAAGACACACAATCCTTCTGTGCCTCAATATCCCCACCTATAAAATGGAGATAAAACTTCTTTGAAGTGCTTTTGAGATCTGAGGATAAAAAGTTCTAAATAAGAGAGGCATTATTAATCTAAGCACTTTCATTCCACACTCCCAAGCCTGGGAGTTTGCTTCTTTCCAAGCAAAGGCTCTATCCAGACTATTTATCTGATACTTCATCCCTTCAAGGAAAGCTTTTAGAATCTGTGTCCAACCATTTTCCTTGGTAATTTGCATGTGACTAATGTGTTATTTTATTGCTAACTAAATTCTTAATGGGTGTTTTTTACACGTTTTGATGCTCCCTAAAATCTCAGCGTCAGGTTCTAAAATTAGTGCCAAAAGACCCTCTGTTTACCTATTTTGTCAAACTGAATATACTTACCAGTGCTATATAAGTAATGAGTGCCCATTTTGAAGTGGATGGTAAAGTAGCCTCCCCTTCGATATTCCTTCTCAGACATACTGTAAAGCTATGATCATATGGGATTTTATCTTTTCCAAATGGTTTCCTCTACTTGAAAAGTGGTAACTTAAAAATTGAAATGCCATTTCTCATGTCTAATGTAACACAGATTGTACTGTGTTTCAGAGTGGCAACATGTCTATTTCCATTTAAAGTGCCAGGCATGTCGTGTCATATATAAATAATATTATTATTTTGGACAAAATGGAGGATAAAACTATATGCAAAACACCTTGTATTTATATTTTCAGCCTTGAATGCTCTAGCACCTGTTTCCCAGTCCCACCCTGGAGCTGCGTCCAGTGCTTCTGAGTCTACTTCGGGGCAAAAAATTGCAGTTCCAGCAGCATCACATCATTTTTGCTTTTCAATAGATTTACGGAGTATTCACAATCTCGAGGTTGGGTTTCCAGTCAATTGCATTTTAAGGTATGATATATTTCAGCTGATGACCTTACTGTAAAAAAGGGTATTGGGTTTTGTTTTGTTTTTTTGTCCCCTTCCTGCCCCCATTTAATAATAATAAATAAAAAAAAGTGGGAAAACTACACACGGTTTGGAATATTGGTAGCACAGGCAACCTGATGCCTTCTCAAGTAGCTGCCTTTCAGTAGTGGGCAAAACACTTTGAAATGTTAGGTTTGCTCATCACAAATGAAAGTTGAGAGTTCTAGTAGCGTATAAAACATAGTACAGACGCTCCCTGGGTTATGCAAATCCGCACTTACGGAAAAAGTTCCGTAAGCTAGAAATAGGAGTGTGTGGGTTGTTTTGTTTTGGGGTTTATTTTTTGGCGTAATGGTCGGGTATACGTTTCCGATTTACGCAGAATTCGAGTTACACAAGGCGTTCCAGAACGGAACGCTTGCGTAAGTTGGGGAGCGTCTGTATTTATTTATATTGGATTTTCCTATTGTGCCTATCACTTGAAAATTTTAGACCGTGTGACACAGACTATCATTCAGCCCTAAGAGAAGACAGGAAGATTGTTTCTTAGGCACAATTCATTTTTAAGCTTGAGTGGGATCTTCTGGATTGTAAGGGAACACACCTTCCCACCTCGTTGCTAAATGGAAGAAGAAGTAGAGAAAATGAACTCCAGTACAACAGCTCAGAGTCAAATTGTCGTCATGCATCACATGTGAGCATTTTGTTTTAGTACACAGAATATTTTTTTTCCTATTTAGTATATTCCAAAATAATTGTGCTGATGCCAGAGATGATTTTTCTTCAAAGACCTAAAAAGCAGACAAATATTCTAACTAACAAGTTGATATGCATCTTCAGTTACATTTTCAGTGAAGGTCTAAACTAACTTTTTAAACAGCAATATTTACATACACAACCAGAGAAAGTTGGACTTTTAGCAGCAGCAGGAGCTTAAGCAGCTTTTTCAAATACAGATCTGGAATGGAGAAGAAATCTAAATTTCTTGTTGGTTTGTGGGGTTTTTTGTTTAAGTGCTTATTGTTTTCAGGATTAAAATGTAATTGTTTGTAGGTAATATCAAATTTAAATACTTGTTGCTCTCTGCAATCTAAATCTGATATGAAGATTCCTTTCCCCCACACCCTTACAGAAACTAGATGTGTGCTATAGAAGGCTAAAATGTTAAATATAACTTTCATAGTCCTGAAGATTAGCAATAGCTATCAAGGGCATTTGTGTTCAGATGATGATGAACTTTGGCTCTGATTCTGCACTGTTAACGTAAATGGGAGCTGTTGAACATCAAGGACCAAATTCTGATGTTGGATATGCTTGTACAACTGACATTGCACATGCATATTCCAAAAGTAGAATTTGGACCTAAGCTACTAGTGTCATCAGCTGATGATGATTTTCCTTGACTTTCTTGCCTACAAGAATATGACTTGAGTTAAATTTGCGTTTTCTTTTTTCTCATTAGGTACTCGTATCCATTTTTTGGTAGTGCGGCACCTATTATGACAAACCCTCCTGTAGAAGTGAGAAAAAACATGGAAGTTTTTCTACCCCAGTCCTATTGTGCATTTGATTTTGCAACTATGTCTCATCAGCTTCAAGACACCTTCTTCAGGTAGCACTTGTATTTTTATCTTATTACATGAAGCATTATTTAACTGTTTTTAATATAGAAAATATTTTGTAAATCCCAAGCTTTGTAATTTAGTGTCTTAGAATAATTTAAGTTGTGGAAAAGAGAAATCCAGCAGTTAGTAACCAAGAATATTTAAGACATTTTTCTTGCCCTTTGAGGCTGTATAGTCTAGCACATAAAGGTCAGATTGTTCAAACCTTACTCATATTTGTGACCGTTTACTTAAACAGGAAATGTGGTGATATCAATTGGAGCATCTATTTCGGTAAATTCTTATCAAAATAAGGGCTAGTTGATGTAGCCTGAAAAAAACAGTTCTGCTTACGCAGAATCATAGTAAGTTTTCTAGGGGTATGTCTACACTACCCGCTGGATCGGCGGGCAGCAATCGATCCAGCAGGGGTCAATTTATTGCGTCTAGTCTAGACGCGATAAATCAACTCCCCGAGTGCTCTCCCGTTGATTCCTGTACTCCTCCACCGCGAGAGTCGTAGGCGGAGTCGACTCAGCGTGGTGAAGACACCACGATAAGTCGATCTAAGTACGTCGACTTCAGCTACATTATTCACGTAGCTGAAGTTGCGTAACTTGGATCGATTCCCCCACCCAGTGTAGACCAGGCCTAGGTGTGTAACCTACTCTAGCTGACTTGGAGTCTGGCAATCAAACCAGCCATAACCTGTGAAACATAGTTGCTCTAAGGATTAGAAAAATGAAATTGTAGTGGAATGTTTCCCCACTACATTGCTCCCTTTTTGTAGGCATGTGAGTAGGGTAGAGAATATTTTTCACACATACTCCTACCCTAAAGCCTAAACCAAAATGGTATTTTGGAAAGAAGGGTAGAGGAGAGAGGTTTTGTAGATTGGTATTTTCAGAAATGGAAAAGGGCCTATAAGATCATCCAGCCCATCAATATGTGAGTGCAGGATTGTTCTCTGTATACAGACTGGAACAGGGTAGTGATCTAGCCAAAGTGACGGAATGAAGGAGAAGATGCAGAGTTGTGAGTCAGTCTTTTTCCTGTGGGAATGAAAGGTATCAAGGTATGTTTATGCTGTAATAAGAATCAGCTAGATTGGTTTGGGAAGTTATTTCTGTAAGTTATTTCTTGCTTTTCCATGTAGGTGAATGTCGTCTTTTGTCTGGCCTACTGATACTAAAATACTCTTCTGTATTTCAGGTTACCACTGCTGGTTGAATTGTGGCACAAAGATAAAATGACTAAAGATATACTTCTGGGAGTTGCCAGGCTACAGCTTTCAAATGTTTTGGGCTTGGAAAAAACCCGATTCTTGGGTACTAATGGTGAACAGTGTTGGCGTCAGACCTGTAGTGAAACAGTTGATGTTATGGCAGCACAAGGGTAAAACCTTTTTTTTAATATAGTTTGCATTATAGCATGTCTTACCTTTTTAATTTTATTTGTTTAATGTTTTCTCCTGTTAAAGAATCCCTTCCTCCCTCTATTTACCCCTTATCCTACTTTGAAAACTGTTTACTCTTAACTTTCATTTGAAGCATTAGGTCAGATGCTTGAAAGGGATAGAATTTTATGAATAGCTGTAATACATACTGTCATGGTATTTGGGTGTGATTTTTTTTTCATGTTTTAACAACTTTACAGAATTTCTATATAGAAAATGTACCTATCATAACTTGATATTTATGTTCAAAGTGCTGTAGAAACTTAAATTATTGCTGAAATTTCTGGTAAAATTTGAAAATAGGTAAGAAATGTTATTTGACAGTCCAATGAAATATTCAGTTTAGCCGCTCTTTGAAAGGCTGATATCATACTTGTAAGTCAGATTTGGCCCCAAACTTATATTTTTGTAAAGGCAAGATTTCACAAAACTGATTTGAAAAGCCAATATAAATATTTCTTGTAATTTGTATGTAAATAAACATTCCCTTCTGGAGCTGTACAAATTATTAGTACTAGAGTATGAGAAACTGAAATTGACTGACTTTCATTTTCCAAATTAAGAAATGCAAAGGTAATCAGAACAAATAGTGAAAAGTAAATTTAGATTTTAAAAAAATCTTATTTTAATAATCTGAAATATTTTAGGACACTGTCCCTATTAATATCTGTAGACTATAAATATATTGAGAATCACGGACAATTTCTCAGTATTGCATTAAGTCAAATTTTTCTCTTGTCTGGGAAGTAGGCAGTTGGACAACAGTAACTTCAGGGACCATTAAGAGAGTGACCGAGCTAAAAATTCCCATTAATTATTTGTTTAGACAAGTTATGTTGTTGTGGCTTTTACCTCCTGGAAATAACGTAGCCTAGTTTTTTCAGATCCAGCTGTAAACACGGCTGCACCCTCATTCCTCCTTTCATGCAAGTTATTAGGTCTGGGTCTGTTCTTAGCTGACAAAACATACGCTGTAATTGTTGGCTTTTTTTCTCCTTCCATATTGTTTGTTTGTTAAATTAGGATAAATACATCTTGGATCTTCATTTTGGAACATATTCTTTTAAAACTTTCCAGCTTGAGGCTGCCCAAAATGAATATCACTTCCTCAGTATGAAACTTCAGAGTTAGTATTATCAAAGCTTACAAACCTTTATATGTTTGGGTGACTACAGAGAAAGAGTAGTAAAGTAAAACCCATTCATTAAGACCTTCATTCAGGAAAGCACTTAAGCCTATGCTTAACTTTAAACATGTGCACTGACGTCAAGGGGATTTAAACAAGTTAGCTATATGCTTGAGTGCTTTCCTGAATCAGAGTCCAAGAGGTTTCATTTAGGTGTCCTGAATCAGTATTGAGATCTAGAAGAAACTCAGCAGGAGTTTGTTGGACAATGTCCGTCAGAGGACTTTCTAATAGTACAATAACTTGTTAATAGATTTAGGGGCCTCAACCTTTACACATTATGAAAAGTCCCAGTGAATTCAATTGGACTACACATGAAATGAAATCCTGCCCCATTGAAAACAATGGGAGTTTTGCCATTAACTTCAATAAGGCAAGGATTTCACCCCTAGTTTGTAAATGTAACCATATGTGTAGCTCTTTTCAGCATCATGGTCAAATTATTATTTCCTTTATAGAATCAAATGGACTTTTCCCCAAGAGTGAAAATCTGTTCAAAATGAAACACATGGCAGTATTGCACAAAACTTAATTATCAATAGATGGCACTTTCAAAAATGTAATTAGCATGTGTTTTTACTGTGGCAGTGAATTTTAGTTTCATTCTCGTTTGACATAAAGTATTCACTATAGTACTAAATGTCTCTTTGAACATGATCAAATTAACAATTTACCTTAACATCTCATCTCTTTATGTAAACTACATACATTTAATATAACATAGAAAAATATAAATATTTTGGGTTTTGTTTTTAGAAAATCAGAAGTTTAGAGTTCTGAGAAATTAATATAATATGCTTGCATACTCCACTCTCAAATTTAGTTAACTTCTTCCCTTGGAAAATAGAATATAACATAGGTGTAGTTTGACTTTTATATTTGGTGGGGGAGCTCCAGTCAGGTCAATGGGGCCACGCATGGGGGGGCGAGGGGGAATTCTGCGCCTGCCCAAGGCTTGCAGTTTGCGGGGGGGAGGGAAGGGGAAGGGGCAACATGCCCTCTGCCCTCCCCAAACTATGTCTATGGAATATAGCTTTTTAAAACCTTTTAAAAATACTTCAGTAGATCTCTTTAAACAATGCTGAATAAAGTACTTGGACCAGAACTCTCTGTACCAAAACAGACCTCGATGTTGGAATGATTGTTGCCTTCATCTCTATGGTGTTTATATGCATACTTTTCTTATTTAAACATCCTCTTCTCATGCAACATAAACACACTGGTTCCACTGCCTTCCACACCCAGAGAGATGGGGCAGGCAAAATTTTCTCTTGGCTAGTGGGCATAATTTACTCTCTGTGTACTCACAAGTTGTAAAAGATCTCTTTCTTTTTTTATATCTAGAATAGTAAATCTCTTATTGAAGACATTTTGCATATCTGTTTCAGTACAATAACATTGTCATGAGACTCCCTAGGTGGGGTTCAGATTTTCTTTATAGGATGTGGGGAGAAATAATTCCCCATTCTAAAGTGAGCATTAGGAAGCCAGACTTTTCACTTGTGAACACATTCTGTATAAAACTTATTTGAGACTGGGGCTTTGGAAGGAATAGTTCAGCCTATCTCCGGGGAGGTAGCTGCTCTGTGATGAAAAAGGGGAGAGTTAGTGAGAAAATGGTTAAGATGTCAAGAGTTTAAAGTGGAAAAGGTTAACAAATTCAGTGGACAGAAGTATTGATTAAAAGAATAGTATTCAGGCATGTTGCTAAGTAGTACATCAGTTATGTTAATTTTTTATAATTTTTTTTTAAAAAGTTAAGCATACAGTTGAATATAGGCTTCATGGAGTAAATTCAGTTGCAAAATACTTTGATCAAGTATATTTTTCAGATTGGAGATTTAAGATTGTAGCCCCAACTGAAGCATTGATTCTTTTTGTAGTGTTATGTGTAATAGTCATTCTTCTGCTCTACTCTGCTCTGGTTAGGCCTCAGCTGGAGTATTGTGTCCAGTTCTGGGCGCCGCATTTTAAAAAAGATTTGGAGAAATTGGAAAGGGTCCAAAGAAGAGCAACAAGAATGATTAAAGGTCTTGAGAACATGACCTATGAAGGAAGGCTGAAAGAATTGGGTTTGTTTAGTTGGGAAAAGAGAAGACTGAGAGGGGACATGATAGCGGTTTTCAGGTATCT